TGAGAAGTCTGGCCTTGCTGTGTACTCCAGATTCATGGGTGACCATCCTGAAAACATGCCCCCAGTGTAAGTCAATTCATTAGAGTTGATTTGAGAGAGAAGGGGGAAGAAGAGGAGAGGGAAAAGGAGAAATGGAGTGAGAAGCATGCAAACTGACCTGCTTATGGTCTATAAAATGACGGGATTTTTTTGTGCCAAGCTCTCCTGTTTGTCCCTGCCAGAGGTCAGTCAGAGTCTGGAAAGGACACCACCCTGGGCAGCTGTTGGAATTGATAATGCTAATACCACTTTGGCCAGGAGAGGGCCCCAAATTTCAACTCAAATTGGAAAATCTCAAGGTAATATGGTCAGAGACCATACTCTCACCTACCTATCAACTGACACAGGGCTGGCCTTGAACCCAAGATCCTCCTGCCTCAGCCTCCCAAGTGCTGGGACTACAGGCTTATGCTACTACACCTGGAAGAGACTTCACTTTAAAACAGAATAGTTACCACCATGGCTGAGCATGGAAGGGGCCAGAAAGATCACCAGAGGCCCAGAGATGGAAAAGCACTTCAATGTCACAGGCTGGTTTGTGGATCCAAGAGTGGAAACCGGGCTGGACACACGCCGCTCGCTCTGTTGTCCAGCTCTTCTCTGTCATCATGCATCAGCAGCCACATCTCCACATATCTGCTGGAAGCTCAGTGCTTTTAAAAGACAACCATTTATCGAGTGCCTGGTACCTATAAAGCCAGGTAGTAGATAGGGTGTGACTGGCAGGGGGCAGGGTGGCAGAAGTGCTGGGCTTGGGAGTGGAGAGGGGAGACAGTATCAAGGCCTAAGTTCATTGTCTGTAAGGCCTGTGCAGGCTTTTATTGGCTCAGCACAGGAAAGTCAATCAACAATAAAAGGTGTAAGTAAGGTTCCAAACAGAAGAGGCTGAGGGGTCATAGTACAGGGTATAATTAGTAACCAAATGAATGATTAGCAGTTGCCAAGCATTTGCAAGGAGGAACGCAGGAGTGTAAGGTGCCCTTGCTTCGCATTTCACAGTTCTGGGTTCTCTCCTATATGCTGCCTTCTCAGGGTCCCCCCCCACCGAGGCCTTCCACGGGGGGAGGTGGGCTCTGTGTGGGCAGATCGGACTCAGGAGCGCAGAGTCCCTCTGTCCCTGTCCTGGAGAAGTCCAGTAACTCGTGACGCTTGTGTGAATGGGAAATTGGAACCAAATGACCCGTAGGGCTCAAGGACACGTGACATTCTAGGTCCACGGGAGGTAGGATGGGTACGTGTACAAGGTCCTCTTTGTATGAACTCTTCTTGCCTGTGGATAGGAAGAGAGAAAGCTGGAGAGTAGCAGCAGCGGATTGTGGACTAATGACGTGAGGCGTCAGGCAACTTGCTCACTCTCTTGGCCTCAGTTTACTCCTCAGAATAACCTCTCTGATCCTTTCCAGCTTGATGAGTCCTTTGATTCTAAGCATTTTACAATGGCCTGTCTTGGAAGAATCAAAATTTCAGGTGTCAGTTTGCATCTTTATCTTGGGTCCTCTTTTGCTTATTTATCTTTACCTTCTTTCTTATTTTCATAATTGTATCTTACCACTTGAACTCACGTAGGCTCAGAGTCGCTTCAATGGAGGTGGCAAAATAGGGGTTTGTTTCATCCTTTCCGTTTCCAGCACAGACCATCCTGTGTGCCCACTCGGCACCAGGCATCCTGGGGGGATTTAATGAATGGTGCTCAGGCCCCATCTCCAAGGCAACTTTGCCAAAACTCTCCACAGTTTGACGGGGTGGGATGGAAGGCACTTGGTCAACATTCTGAATGTTAACGAATTTCTAAGGAACGGGTGGGAAAGTTCAAGCTGCACCCGGGGAAGGTACAGCCTGCAGCACTTCACAGGGCTCGAAGACTTTTTCTCCCACTGGTACGAATAGCTTCTGTCCGGCTCACCCCAGAGCTCTTGGAGCTCAGTTGCTGAGCAAAGGGGGAAGGTGGGAGTCTGCTTCAGTTGCACCTCAAGGTCTGAATTCAAGAGTTCTTTGGTGATTCTTAAGCAGGAAAAAGGCCGACGCCACGTCGGAGAAAAATTGCAATGTTGCTAGGATGGCAGGGAAGCACTGCGCCCTCTCCACAGACTCCTGTCCGGCTGCATGTTCAGTGTGGGGCTGGTCCCAGGAGGAAGAGGTGGGCAGGACAGTAGTGGTGCTCTCTCCACATGGGGACCCAGGACAAGCGGAGCCCCCACTTCGTATTTTCCTGCCACTGCCGAACATCAGCTCCCCTCACCAGGGACTTCTCAGGCTTAATCGGCACCCCCAGAATGCATGGCCATGATGAATCGTTTTATGGCTAACTTGCAGGCTGCCTCAATTCACCACCAGAGAGGACTTGGGGCCACTTGGGCACCACCCAGGTGTGAAAGCTCAGTCCTGAGGGCCTGCCACAGGTCTACCTCTGGCCTCTCCTTGGACAAGCCTGGCTCAACAGGTAGTGCCTTGCCTTTTCCCTTTCCTACCACCCAAGCACCATGGCCTTACCACTTTCTGCCAGGACCCCCGCATCCACAAGAGGTTTCCACCATCTCCTCTCATAGAGAAGCCCCAGCACCCCCACCTCTCAGTGCCTGGACACTGCACTCAGTCTTCATTTGGCATGCATCGTTGGGGGGGGGGTGGTCCTCACATCCTTCCCCAAGAAGACCAGAGCTAGGTGGGGCACTGTGTCCCAAAGCAAAGGTAGGAATCCAGCCTTAGCCTGACAGGCCTGCTGCCAGGCAAAGAAAACAAGGTCCTAAAGTTCCTCGCCTGTGTCAGATGTCCCGGTTAGTCCAGCCTCACAAAGCTGCATTGTGATTGTGAAACAATTGGGCTAGTTGTGAAAGCACCCCCCCCCAAATATCTGAAAGTAGAGTGGGAGAAAATGCTGAACTCAATGGGGGGAAAAAGCTAAACTGAATTAAGTAGAACTATGCCCCAAGCCCAGAGATGGACAAGTGGCTTGGAAAGTCGGTTTTGCAGACCTGCGGAGAAGGCCTGAGCCAGGAGGAAGAGCTGACTCCTACCCAGCGCATTTCCTACCATTGTGTGCTCCCGTCCCTCCTCCCAGCCCCCCTCCCCAAGGTCCCGGGGAGCCCTGGGCTCCAGGCCACGGTGCCATAACAAGCCTGTAACCTTGTCACTGGTAAATTATGTCACAGGTTAGTCACACAGGCCCGGATCCATAGGCGATCGATCAGGCAGCTGATCGATGGATTCTACTGGGGGAGGATCAGCCCTCGGTGACCCGCTAGGGGAGGGGCAGGTGTGTCACCAAGAGGCTCTGGCTGAAGGATTTAAGGCCGCCTCCTCTGGGGCCCTGGGAAGTAACAGCCGGGTAATAAACTACTTTTCATTGAAAAGATCCGGACAGCAGGACAGC